CTGTTGACTTGGAGGTTCTGTTTGGAATTGGCAGTTGTAAGAGCTGAAGTGAGAAGTGTTGCCCTGTTGTTAATGCATTCAGTGCTAGCTGCCAAGTAAAGGAGAGAGAATGGAAAAATACTCTATTTCAGTATAGGATCTTAACAAAGTGTAGCTTTCCTGTGTGAGAAGAAACATAACTGGGATTTTCAAAAGGCACCTGTCTCCCTTAAAATGTGTTTGAAGTTTCAAAGCTCCTTCAGGATCCAACCATAAAATCCTAGTGAAGACAACTTACAACATAATGAAAAGATAATCAAATTAGTTGGATTCATCCCCAAATGAAAAACACCCTGTTGTATGCTACTCTGGCATCAGTCAAATGGGTGCATATACAATGGTGGTATGACAGCACTTTTGAGAAGAGCAGCCATGGACTGGCAACTTGCAGAGACTGACTGTGGGCCAATAAGAATTTGTACCAGAAATTTGAGTTTTCTGGTTTGTACATGGAAAAAAACAGTAAAAATGTCCTTTTCCTCTACATTACTTCAGTTCTCTTTTTTTAATACATGAATCGCCTGTCGGGTGGAGTTTAATTCTGAGGGTAGCTGGGATTAACTTTGGCCTCTTTTGTTGAAGGTTTATACTTAACTAATCTGGAAAATATTGAGGCATATACTGTTAAGGGACCAAATCACTGAAGTCAATAGATCAGAGAGAAAATCTCAAACTGCAATAATGTGTAACTATAATTTGCAAATATCCAGGAGGTATTTCACAGCCACAAGACAAGAGGAGATGGTGAGATGTATAATGGGTACTGTAAGTGTGTTTCTCCAAGTAAGGGTTAGTATCTGGAAACATTCAACACTGGACGAATTTTGAGAGAGAATGTAACTGTTTCCTTAAGTTCGTGTATACTACACAGAATGTATTCATGTGTACTAAGAGACTAGCTTGTTTCCCCTTTGGGCAGTAGTATGTGCTGCTTCAGTTAACCACATCACAGGTTACTTTCACGGATGTGACTGATAATAGTATGCAGCAGCTAAACTATTGCAGCTGAATCTATCAGAATTCTTCAGTCAGAGCCCTTGTTGTAGGGGTTCATTGTTGTTGAGAGATGACTCGAGTCAACAAATGGTTGAAACTAATACTGTGGGAATTTCTGAGTTGATAGTAATTATGACTTGGATCATTTCCAGAAAACATAGCCGAATAAAGGAACCTGGCTAAAATTTACAAGACTTTGGTTCAGTTTCTGGCTTTTACCTCATGTTAGTGCTCTGAGACCTTTGATGAGTCATTTATTCTTTGTTCCTTAATGCTTTTTCTGAGAGAAAGCAATCTAAATATTACAAGTGTACATGTATTTGTGTCACTTCCAAACAGTGGTAATATATACAAGTACATTCTCTGCTTACTGTAAATACTGCAAGTGGAAATTTTGTACCTTAGTTTTAGTTGCTGGTTGCTCTATCTGTGTATTTTTTAGAGTAGAAGTGTGACAGTAATTCCTGCTAGTGTTTCAGGTGATTCTTGATCTTTACAATTTAGTTGGAATGGGGAACTTTAGGTGGGCTTTATCCTGGCAAATGCTGAAGAATACCGAGAGAAATTGCCACTGTGGTGAACAGAGATATAAGTGAAAAGAAATAGGCTTATAACTAAGGACCAATGAAACTGGGATAGTTACTGCCCTACTTCTATTCATCCTTGCAAATAACATGATTAAATGTATTTTCTTTAGGTAGGACAGCCAGCCCAGCTGCTGTGCCATCTCTCATAAACTGTTTTCCATTCTGGAGAATTTTAGGAGGGTGTGAAAGATGCTGGCCTAGATTGCCATCAATTACTCCTCCTCTCCTTTCCCTTCCTCCTCCCCACCATTTCTGCTTGAATTCCTTTTAATAACATTATTAAAACCTGGTAACTCATTGCCACTTGTTCCCCATTAAAGTCAGCTGAGCAGTATCGATTTGTAATAAATGCAAATTGATCCATTAAAGTCGATGTCAAATCTGGCTTGACAAAAGCCTGCATTTGTAAGAGTTTCAGAGCAGGTAGTGTGGCTTATTTTCACCTTGTAAAGTGCAGAATAGACACACAATGCTTTACAAATGACTTTCAACAGTTAATAGGATGCAGTGATTTATTTGCATATCCAAAGAACTGTTCTGTGCAGTTTGTTGATATTATAAAAATATTTACTGATTTAATTCACACTTTTGAAAATGCAACACGAGCTAAGAAATTCTTCTTGTTTTGGCCCACAGAACTGTCTAGCATCTCACAGAGTCTGACTGCCACTTTTAATTGCACCCTGAATAACAGATTTAACAGACTTGTGAAATTATAATTGCTGAGTTCCTTACATGCAAGATGACAGGTATATCTGCAATCAGGAGACTGAATATTCTGCAGTTTGTTGTCTTAGTTTAGTTCAGTGCAGCAGCACTTAACATTTAGTCCAGAGAGCAGCTTCCACAGACGATGAGATGTTCTGATATTGGTGCTGTAACTTGTCATTACTTAAGTTGAACTAATTTTCACTATCCTTTGTTTATGTTCAAATTTAACTATCAGACGGACATTCCAGGTGTGTGCAGAAATGCAGTGACATCTGCGGAATTAATTGATATGTTAAAATCACTGTTACTCAGAATGGCCTTTTCTATGTGGAATGTTTTATAAAGCTGACATTTTAATCTCAAGTTCTATAGAAAATTATTCATGTAGTCATACTATCCTTTTAGCTGGCCCTATACAGTTTGAACCCAGTGGTTCATTTCAGTCATATTTGGATGTCATACCTTAGATACCGGTCAAGTAACCAAGGCAGAAATCTATAAGCTTCACTAGCTCTGATGTTCAGGTAATCACAGAATCGTTAAGGTTGGAAAAGACCTTTAAGATCATGTCCAACCATCAACCCAACACTACCATGCACACTAAACCATGACCTGAAGTGCCACGCCTACATGTTTTTTGAATACTTCTGGTAATGGCGACTCCACCACCTCCCTGGGCAGCCTGTTCCAATGCTTGACCACTCCCTCTGTAAAGAAATTTTTCCTAATATCTAGTTCAAACCTCCCCTGGTGCAACTTGAGGCCATTTCCTCTCATTCTATTGCTCATTACTTGGGAGGAGACCAACACCCACGTCGCCACAACCCCCTTTCAGGTAGTTGTAGAGAGCTATAAGATCTCCCCTCAGCCTCCGCTTCTCGAGACTGAACAGCCCCAGCTCCCTCAGCCGCTCCTCATAAGACTTGTGCTCCAGACCCCTCACCAGCTTCGTTGCCTTTCTCTGGACACACTCCAGCACCTCAGCATCCTTCTTGTAGTGAGGGGCCCAAAAACTTAACACAGGATTCAAGATGTGGCCTCACCAGTGCCGAGTACAGGGGCACGATCACTTCCCTACTCCTGCTGGCCACACTATTGCTGATACAGGCCAGGACGCTGTTGGCCTTCTTGGCCACCTGGGCACACTGCCGGCTCATGTTCAGCCGCCTGTCAACCAGCACCCCCAGGTCCTTTTCCACTGGGCAACTCTCCAGCCACTCCTCCCCAAGCCTGTAGCGTTGCAATGAAGCTTAGGAAACAATTTAGATAAACAGTTTAACAACTTCAGTTCACTGAAAGCACTAGTTTTCTGTTAAAAACATGAATCTTGTGTGCAGAGAATTTTGAAATTTATTTAAGAAAGGTATGCTTAAAATAGCAAGATTTTTGGTTCAACTACTATGAAAAACATTTAAATACCAGGATCTTTAAATTCCTTTTTTAGGGCTTACATTGGTAAATCAAAAATTTACCAATTTAATTTTCTTTCATATTGAGAATTTTAAAGAGAAATTGTGCTAAAGCATTACTTGAACAGTTTTTTTTAAGATCTCAACAGATTTAGTAGAGAAATCTGCTGATACTGTGGATTTTAATGGTACAAAATCATAAATTATTTCAAATCACTCAAAAGTGGGCTGAGTTCTGCCCCCCTTAGTGTAGTTTTTGGCAAATAGAGCTAATGGTTTCAGAAGATAATGTATAATGCACACTGTAGGATGGAAAGACTACAGATCGCTCAGCATGACTGACTGCAACTTTCATAAGGAATTGAATTTAAGATTTTATCTCAGACAACTACCTTTGTGAACTTGTGCAAAAAAGAAATTGTCGAAATATCAGAGGATGCTGCTATTTTTTCCTGAACTGCATGTATTTTGGTCTGTGTGATCTGACAAAGCATTTCCACCCTTCTAGTTTGACCTTTGACTGTATATTTGAGCTTTATTTACTTTTCCTTTTTTCCCCTTTATAGTGCTGTCTAAATAAATAAAAATACGTTCCTGAGGCTGTGGTTAATACCTTGATCTTTAGGCACAGGTTACTCTACCTTTTGTCTTTCATCTGCACTTCTGATTTGCCTGCCACTGTAGTACATAGATGCTCTACACAGATTCTGAAAAAGTTTGTATTAAAATGTGTATATATACATATATTATAAATAGATCTACATTGTAAATAAAGTGAAATATGTGAATTTAAAAATGTGTACATGAGTATACATTCCAGTTGTTAGCTTTTGCCCTCAAAATGCCTTATGAAGACCTAAGTTTGATAGCATTATTTTTTTTCTAGGAGCCAAGTCTCTTTCTCTTCCCAGCTCTAAGTCAGGCAGACAGCTCTGAGCTCTTTGCTACATCCACAGGGAGATTTTCTTATTATTATTTTTATAGGCACCAGGCCTGTGAAGTCAGGTCATCTGTCTTTGCCTGTGCATCTTTAATCAGATCATCTACTGAAAACATGTGGATTTACAATAGAGCCAACTGTAATTGCAAGCTAATCTGCTGCTTCTGCACCTTCAGTGCCTTTGCCCCATGCCTGATATTACTCTTAACAGTTTGTTAATACCAAATAATGCAAAAACATTGCTTCCTTAAGCACTTAATAGGATGTAGTGTAATGGAGATAAATAGTCTATAACACTCTTGTCTTTTAGGGAAATGAACTGAAGGATGCTGTGCAAGAAAAGAATCGCCTGAGCCTTCAGTATGCAAGTGTGTCCCACAAAGCACTGCAATATGACCAGGTAACATTACAAGCACAGAACTCATACATTCATTTGTTACAGAAATCAGGCTGCAGGGGTGGATAAAAGTGGATTGTATAGTCATTTTCTCTGATTTGCTTGCTTCTACTTGAGAACATAAATGATTTTAATTAAAAATAAATTACAAAAATGTATTTTATGAACAAGTGTTATTTTCAAGTGAAAATTTAAGACACACTGATAGACTGAGAGAGGTACATCATTCCTCTGATGCATATTTTCTTAGTATTGTAAATTGGTATTGGGCTTTGGTAAAAATATTTTTTTGGTGATTCTGATGAGACTTGATTGGAAAATTATCTTCTTTTCCTGAAAAATACTGAGAGAAATGATGGCTATCTAGTAGGGTTTTTTCTACCCATCTGCATTTTTTCTTTGCATTTTTAGATTTCTCAATAAAATGTTGAAAAGCTGTTGACCAGCAGCACATGTACAGAAATCTATTTAGCAGTTATTTCCCAGCTATTCTAGGTCCTGATATAAAAACTTTTAATAGTAAGCATTTTTCTTCAATTTTTTTTGGTGCCTGTTATAGGCCAAAACATGTCTTTCTGACTATAGTGTGATTATATCTATGGCAAATACTGCCTGGCGTGACTAGCATGGGAGGAGAGGCTGGTGTGCCTTATCTCACCACATATGCATTCAGTGGAAGAAACATCATGAACCAGCCACTTTACAGGGCTACATTTAGCTAAAAATAAAACTCCAATCTGGGATTTCTGCAGGGCTTAAGTGAGTTGCTCGGCAACCTCATTCATATCAGAAGAGCTGTAACACACATAGGCTCTGATGAAAGCCCATCCTCAAAGCTTGCAAAACAGTGGTAGCTGCACGCTTTGATATCTCTGATGTGCATGTGTCACAGAGTAGCCCACTACTGAATTTCCAAACCAAAGGAGGTCTGATTAAGTCCCTGAGACAATGCAAATTACTAAAATTCAGAGATCGCTGTGCATGTACTCTACATTTTGTGTGTGGCATCTGGTATCGAAGCAGACCTGAAATTTCCTGTTTCAATTCTGAGGAATTGAAATCATTTTTATATAAAAAGACAGTGTAATAATACTTTATGATAGGCGGAAGCCAGGTGTATTATAGCATCACTTAATTTTATTCATCCATCTGTCTAGAATGTCTCCCTTTCCTAATGTTTTTCTCTTCTCTTTTTTTTGTTTGCACATTGCCTTTACTCTTTACTTCACGAGTCATGTAACAATAAGGTCTTCCTTTGGCAGTTTTATATTCTGGCTGAGACAGGAATAGCATGCAGCATTAATGCAGTGAAGGCTCAATATGTTGATGATGCTAAAAATGTTATCCTTCTTCCTATCAGAAAGTGAAGAACTATGTGGTTAATAATGCTTTATTATAGGTAATGTTTGTATCTTATTATGGTGAAACGCTTAAGGTACATAAAAAAACCTAGTAAAAGCAATTTAAAATATGAAAGTAAAATGTCAATTTTTGACACATTAGCCACTAAGTTAGTGATAAAATTACCTTTCACTATTGTAGTGTCAGAATTTGTCATGCTATGGGTGTTTGTTTCTTCAAACACATTAAATACTATGAAAGCCACAATGCAACAACTCTGGATGCCTGTGCTACTAATTTAATATCACATCCTCATCCTAGGATCAAAGACTTACTCTAAGTGTACCCTCTCACTTTTACAATTTTAACAACATGTAATCTTTGCAGCATACCTTGAATGTTAACAAACCTTGTGTTTTCTTTCTTGTGTAACAGGTTTTCTTGAGGGAATTAGTTGGATTTTTCTGGGGTTTTGTTGGTTTGTTTGTGGGTACAAAAAAACACATGGTGAGATTGAGGATAGATCGTGCAGTTTAGATTACAATTTACTATTCAGAAAGTGTGAAACTATAAAACTTAGGATGTGGAGGTTCAAGCAGAATTTTAAGAGTTGGGGCTCAGCCCTGAAGGGGAAAACCTGCCTAAAATAATTTCTGCTTTTTCACCCTTGAGAGCTGGCCTGAAAAACAGGCCAACTTCATCCAAGCAAATGGGGCTGGAGGAGTGTCTATGCCTTCTGTTATGCAGCCCAGATAAAACTACTGCTCATTTTTGCACAATGTAGTTGATGAAATTTGACTCTAGAAAGGAGTAGGTACAAGGCTGGCTACCTTTAAATCTACAAAATAAAGCTAATATTGTACATAACCTACATGACTTAGTTTTGGTACTCTGCATAAGAGAAATGAAGTTGCATTCCTGGATTGGAGTACTTGTGAAAAGATTTTGTGTCATTAGGAGCTCTGTGACACTGGGCTCTGACTTATTTTCTTGCTCATCTGAATATATATGGGTGTTGTGGTTTAGACCCAGCTGGCAAGTAAGCACCACGCAGCCACTCGCTCTCCTCCCCACCTCCCAGGTGGGATGGGGGAGAGAATCAGGAAAAAACTTGTGGGTTGAGATAAAAACAGTTTAGTAGGACAATAAAGAGGAAATAATAGTAGTAGTAGTAGTAATAATAATGGCAAAGGAATATACATAACCAAGTGATACACGATGCAGCAATTGCTCAGCACCTGGTGATCGATAGCCTGTCCCTGAGCAATGATTCCCACCCCCAAGCCAACTCCAGTTTATACACGGAGCATGGCGTTATCTGGTGGGGAATACCCCTCTGGCCAGGCTGGGTCAGCTCTCCTGGCTGTGCCCCCTCCCAGCTCCTTGTGCACCTCCCCGCTGCCAGAGCACGGGAAGCTGAAAAGTCCTTGACTTCGTATAAGCGCTACAACTACTTAGCAACAACTAAAAACATCAGTGTGTTATCAACTTTATTCTCATACTAAATCCAAAACACAGCACTCTACCAGCTATTAGGAAGAAAATTAACTCTATCCCAGCTGAAATCAGGACAATGGGCTAGTGTTTTTATGTAAAAATAGAATAGGAATAATACCTCCAGAATTTATTTCCACAATACCTGAAATCATACCATTTTCATGGTAGTTTATGAATAATGTTTTCTGAACAATGTCAGTTATTTGAGAAACTGGCAGGTCACTAAAGTCTAGAATTAAGGCAAATGGTGTATTATGAGGCTGATGGAGCTTTTCACCAATGAAATAAACTGCTGGTTCATTTTGGTGTGCTGGTTTTCAATAACTAGTTTCTGTTTAAGTGTTCAGGAAGTGGAAGACAACTTTAGCAGTGTTCTGGCCTTCCTAACTGCCTCAAATGAGGGCACATTTAGTAAGTGTGAAGGTATGGGATGAAAAATAAATTGGTTTATGCATTAAACAGAGAAACATCATGGATCAAAATGTTCCCTGTTTCTGTCATGAAATTAGAACTGTTTATGATGGTACTCTATTTAGGTCAACTGTTTTTGCCACTGGGAACACTGATGTTTTGATGTACTCTGTGTGTAATTCAAGTTCATGTATATCCCATATGTTCTTAAACAGCCTGCCTGGAGAGAGCATTAAATTCACATTTAAGAAAAATGTTGTAAAAAAAAAATGATAGACTGGTCAAGTTTTATGCTGCCTTATGGGTTTTATAAATGTGTATATCACAGCATTCTATATAATACACAATCTTCAGAGGAAAAAGTCCTGTCAGGAATGCACGTGATAAATATTAAAAATTATCAGTGTTGCTGCAAGTAACAAGCGTAATTATCAGAAAGTGGCTGGTAGATTTTGTTGTGTTCTTTCCAACCTGTAAAATGAAAATATATACAGAACTTTGTTCACAAGCTGACGTGCCAAAAGAGAAAGTAGAGCAACTATCAGAACCATTTGTGTATTGTAGAGAAATATCAGAACCACTTGTGTATTCCTAAACTTTAACTAATTTAGGTATGTGCATTGAGACCCTAAATGAAAGATCCTGAGATGTGTAAAATATCTACAGTTCCATGTGTCTCTAATTAATCTCTTTCCAAAATTACATTGGCAGCCTGATAGATACCACTTGTTCTGATAGCCGCTTCACTGCCAGCAGGGAAAAACACATAGCAGAAATGTTCTGTGCTCACTAGCTCCCAAAAATCATTCAGACTATAATGACTAGTAATTCTTAGGAAACTCTTCACAAAGGTAGTCAGCTGGTATCAATTGTTTTAGAGACAGAGAAAACTAAAGCCTAAGGAAAATAACCTTTTCTTGAAACTTGTTCAAAATATTGTACTTCATTCATCCTCAGTAAATTAACTGGGAAACACAGACAATAACAAAATTTCATTGTTGATGGTGATACCACATTGCTTCCTTTTTCCACTCCATTATTCTTTAACAATATACAACGACTGATTTGAGCAATGAAATACAATACAAAAGATGCAGGAAGTTAAGAGATTCTGAGAATCTATTGTTTAATAGTTTCCTTAGTTATAAAGAAATGAGGGAAGAGGGAAAGAAAAACCTGTGCACAGAAAAAAAAAATCCTGAGTTTGACAATAATTGTGTCGGTTCTTGTGGAAAATATGATTTGTTCCATTTTCCTCTTTCTTTTTTCTAGTCCACTGCATTCTAAAGAGCCCTCTTACAAAGAAGAATACAAGGGCTGGCTGCAACCATTTAGATTGTTTGGTCCATGACAAAATTTGCAAGCTAACAAGCTGGAGCCAGAAGGCAAATAGAAAGGCTGAATCAGTTTCCAAAACATCGCTTTAGAAAATGTCCAGGAGATATCTATGCCAGAGATTGCTTAATGCCATTTGTTCTTGAAAAAAACCCAAGAAATTACAGCAATTAAATTAAAAAAAAAAAAAAAGTACTTGTCACTTGCTTGATTAGAGTTAGAAGGAAACACGAGCTGCACCAAGATTAAAGCCTGTGCCTTATCCCAATACTTTGTACTGCTTTGCCTTTTCTTAGTCTTTTTTTTGCCTTTTCCTTTTGCCTTTTCCTAATCCTGCCAGCATTTTTATGCTTCTGCACTGTCTTGCATTTAACAAAGGAAAACAGCTGCCTCTTGGAGCACTGTTCACTAGAAATATTACGGCTCCTTCTTTTGCTTTCTTACCTTCTATCAACATTGCAGGGAAGTGGAAATAGTATGTGAACATTATGGTTTTTTTTTTTTCATTCTTAAAGTAAAAATTGCAGTTTCTGGTATGATATAACTGTAACAATCCTGTTGTTATACATCAATACAGGACATAAAGTCATAAATTGATCAGGGATAAAAAATCAAATTTTCACCTGATCTGAATTGAAGAACAAACTTTTCCATGGCAGGATAAAATAGTTTAATATTATATTTTCTTATTTTCTCTGAATGTTTATGAAGTAGTCACTATCATTGATCATTCACAAAATCCTGTATAAAAAGAATTAGTCATACTGAAATAGTTAACCTAACACCAAGTAGATTACCTTCCGTATGCAAATATTTTAAGGGAGAGCAAGGGGTTTGTTGCAGAAGAATACCTATTTCTGAATTGTACAGACACTGATTTCAAACATTAGCACAGGCTGATCATGTATATTTGAGTTAATTCTGAAGTCAATTTACACTAAAGAATAGTCCAGGAAAATGTACATGTGACTTATATTTCTATATATGTTAGATCTGTGTCTCTTTATATAGTACACCTATCTCTCATGCCTCTGAGAAATTAAGAATTGTTTGATTGTCATTTATTTTGTGCATTATATAGTATATTTATTTAACTTTGCATAACTTATGCATAACTACAGTTGGTTGCCAGATTGTAGTCCTTGTCAAAAGAAAATGTGTTTCATGCATACATGTATATGAGATGCACACAATTTCCTCAATGAACATTCCCTTCCATTTTTTACACTTCTTTCCTATTTCCTTCAAACTTGTTTTCCTTCTTCCATTTTAACATGCAGAAATGTCTGTGTCAGGTATAGTTTTCCCTTCATTAATTAGCTGTTTGGGCAATAAGCACATTTTAATTTTTCTAGGTAAAATCAGACTATGCCCATCTTAGAGAAACCCTTCTCAGAGTGACCAAAGAACGAGATTTGGCTGTAAAGGGAAAACACCAGCTCCAAGCCAAGCTGGAGAACTTAGAGCAGGTCCTAAAGGTATGTATAATGCTGTAAAGTCCAGCACTTCTATTGCTTGCTTCATATTCCTGATGTTCATTCAGTGAGTCACAGAAGCCTAAGTACATTGCAAACTAGGGAACTGAATGCCCCTAGTAATTACGATAAAACGTATGGAATACAGTAGACCAAGTACCTACAGGGAATCTCAAACTATCGGACAAGAGATGTCTTTAGAGATCTTTATCTGATCCTTTCTAAGTACTTGGATGCAGGTTTTCACTATAGTTATTGCAGGTAAGTCAAGATGAGAAGAAAAGGATGAGAAGTGACTATGCTGATGAACAAAATATGAACAACTGCCAAGATATTTTACTTTAAAGAGGGCTATGTCTGACAGTCTAACTTGATGCAAAATGTTATTGTGGCTTTGTGAAAAACCGTTGGTACCAGCTCATACTGCCTGTGCAGAGTGCATCCCATTGTCAGGACAGGCTTGCAAAATCTGCTATTGTTTTATTAAAGAGGTCTTATTTAGAAAGAATTATAGTGCCTGGTACATAACCACCTTTCTTTTAACATGCTTCTAGAGAAGCCTAGTATGTTGGTGTCTGGCCATGCTTGTTTTCTAGATACAGCTGTTTTCATGTCGTCAATTTGCTGCTGCCTTTTCAACTTAGAAAAATTCAGTAATGCGTTTTGAATCCCAAGTATGTATTCTTCAGTAGAGGTTTCACTGTTTAGTTGAAGATGGTGTCATACACAAATGATGTCTGGGTACAGTAAGAGTAAAATTCAGTTGGAAAATGGAATCAGCTAAGAGATTACTGCTTACCAGCTAATTCAAGGAGGCAATAATTTGTATGTTGAAACAAAGAGCAAAAGAAGTCCTAGTGGTTGGAAGGAAATAGTGTTTTGCTAGGAAACAGGCAAATTCCCCAAGTGTTATTGATTAAATAAAGATGGAAGTCAGTAACTTGATAGGCAAAATGTGACAGATGGATCAGCAGTAATGGAGAAGGGTCTGAAAGGTCCTTCACAGACAATGAGCTGGTGTCCAATGTGATGGGGTAGAGGGAGCGAGTGGAAGGAAGCATATGATGTGGTATAAACACAAACTGGTTTGAACGGGTCACTGTTCCCAGGTTTTCTTAGTTGTAGAAAATATGGAAATTGTGATGTGGAAAACTGCTACCAAAACATGCCTTGAAGAGGGTTAAGCAACTAAGATTATTCTTTAAAAGAAAGAAGAAAAAAAGAGTCATGCAGTTACAGCTGTTTGCATCAGTGGAGGAACTGCACTGGCAAGGACTACAGTGAGAATTCTTGAGAGAGAAAAAAACACTTGTAAACACTGTCTGTTCTTCAGACCATTCAGAAAAATTAAGGATGTGTTTGTCTGGTTAGAATGGAGCATTCTAGTGCTCCAGAGCATTTCAGCAATCCAGTGCTGAAACTTTTTTGACAGACTGCCAAAGAGCTGCTTATTTTTCATCTTCTCAAGTCCAAGGTTTTCCTTTTTCAAACCAGTGAAGTTGCTAGCTAAGGAGAGATGGATGCCCTGAGAGTAGGAGGAGATGGAAATGAAAATGCGTGGTCTGAGATCTTAAATTTTGAGCAAGACCGTTCTATGCAGAATGTTCTAATAATGCTAAGTGGCTTCAGCCAATGCTTGTCATAATTATAATCACTTACTTAAAATTAGATTTGCTAATGAATTTGACTTGCATCAGACTCGCTGTAAAAGGGGAAAAATAGTTTTGCTGTTGGCTGCATCAGAATAGATCTGGCCTTTTGGACATGACTATAGAGATGAAAATGGCTACCCGTCTGGATTTTATTTTTGTCTTGTACTTGTAAATACATTGCGGAAACCCTCTCTCAAGCTTTATTTGATATTACTCAAGAGGTGAGGATATTTTACATCCAGCTACAGATGGAAATAAAAGGTGGTTATAAGTTACGTCCCTGTTGCTGAGCCTCCAAAGTGGGGTTATCAAAAGTAAGCTGACTGCTCTGTAAACCAGTTTATTCCAGCTTCTTCTGTTATGTTACACATGTATTGTTGTACAGTGAATTATCATTGTCCTATTTACCAGTCAATAGGTAGCACTGGTGGAATAAATCTAGAATTATGTGCAAATAATAAATACACGTACTGAGAAAGGGAAATTAAACTGCCTAATTGAAGAGTGATACACTGTTATCTGTCTTTAGACTAATATAACTTTCCCCAGAAATAAGTAGGAAGTTTTTCTCTAGCAATGGAAGATAATTTACTTCTTCTGTTATTTCCTTCCTTCTCTTCTGGGGAATACAAAACTAACAGTTCCACAGACCTTTATCACTAATTTGCTATTTAACTGTGAGCTATGTGCTAGTACCTATAGAGAGTAGAATCAACACCTAGAAGCTATTTCAACAGATATGGCGTGCCTGTGCTCTCTGTATAATGATTGTGGGATTCCATCTTGATAGCTGCAGAAATTCACTTCTTCAAGGAGCACACAGTAGAATGATAAGAGGAAAAAAGTCTTGAAAAGAAATGAACTGTGAATTCATGGCTCATGAAATAGCTGAGGATTAGACTTTGCTCTAAGTAAATTGGCATCAATTCTCATTTCATCAAATCAGAATACAAATTATTATTGTCTGGACTCCTGTGCTGCTAAAAAAAACCCCAACACTTTCTTGAGCAATAAAACTCCTTTCTCATACCCTGTTCAGGTACTAGTTTTGCTGGGCTTGTATGTTTTGGAACACTTGAAACTCCTCTAATGATTCTATGATTCTGTTGTGACAGACTGTGTTTTACTTAAACAAATTAAAGAATGTACTTTCTTCATTGGCCATACCAAACAATATCCATTTCTCCACTCCTTAAGTAGGATATCTGCTGGCATTTGACTTAGTGATTCCTCCAAATTTCTTCTGTAGAAGAGCTGAATCTGGTTATTTGACGGATAATGCTTAACTTCTGCTGAAATAATATTTCTAATGCACGTGGGAGAAACATTCTGTAACGTTGTTCTGCTTAACAACTCCTTCAAAATTTTTCCTTCAGTGAGACAAAAATTATCTGGTGAATATAGAGACCCTGGCTTTTCATGTTCAGTAGTTGTCACCCTTGAGCAGAACCCTTCTGAGCTGGCAGAGTACCTTGAACAGACTTGAAACGCTGTATCTCCTTTTTAGCACTGAACCATGCCCAAGCAGATGCAGTTAATTGTGTGGTTCATGTGTGTCCTTATATGCTCGGGAAATTAGTAGTTTGAGAAAATGGTTTGCAGCTTTCCAACTATTGGAAAGTTTTGAGAAATGTTTAGCCTAGTTTTCCTGTCAAAAGAGAAATGCAGTTACACTTTCTGTTATCTCAAGATGTATCAACAAAGCAGAAAAGGGAAGATGAAGAACTGCTGAATTAGCTAACCTCTGAGAATCTTCACAGTGCTTCTCAACACAGAACAGTTCTGACTTTCTGATGTGTTCAGCCAGCGCCTCCCATTCATTCCACTGTAATGGTGCCAACCCATCTGCAAGCGCAGATGAGAAGTGCTTTGATTGGAGTACTTTGGTGAGAATTAAATTTGCTCCCCATTCAGCATCATGTATGAGGCTCGTAAACAAGACTTTAGTACTTGAAAGCCATTTGAGTTTGTTCTAGCATTAACCAGTTGCACATTTTAGAATTGTGAAAGTCACTGCTATAGGAAAGAATGGGTGTCTTTGTTTTGTTTGCAGCTGTAGGTAATACAGTGCCACCACTGAAATGATTGTAGCGAGGATGGGCTATTCGTTGTCAAATCCCCCTGCTGTCCATGAGGAAGCTGGAAAAACAAGAACTGTTTGAGCAGGTCCCTTAAGTGCTAATTCAGAAACAGTTTATACTATACAGCTGTCTAGCTCGATAGTTTGAAAGAAAACAGTTATCTATGATGTCTCCAGATAATTCTCTTCTGCATAGCAGGATTCTTGCCTTTGATCTGAAAGATACACTGAAAAAGTTCCTTCTTCATGCTTTCTTTGAGGGATAGAGCATTATTCACCAATTGTTTTGAAATACGAAGTCCTTACTGTATTTTTCTATGCTCTTTTAAAGGTGGATTTGTTTTCTGGTGTTAGAGTAACATTATTAGGACCTCTAGAAAGGATGCAAAAAAGAGAAGCACAACTCTAAATGTTTAGAAAGTTCTAACCAGCCTCACATTAAGGATAGTGGTAGCATGGACAAATGAATTGCCACCACCTACACAAACCATGGCAATGTGATCGTTGTGGAAGTCAATCCTGAAGGAAGATGCATAAAGAATTCAGGAGCTCAGAGCTTTCTCCCTGCTATTCTTCCTGCTAGTGATCTCTGCAGTCCTCCTCCACTGCCCTAACCTGCTCCCCTCAGGCTTGGAAGAAGAAATGACAGTGGCTGATGTGCGGATAGGAAACGCAAAACAGATTTGCAGACAGAGCCTATTTTTGAGCAGAGTGGGAGGGGAATTGCTTCTGGTTTGGGGGTGATTTAATTGCTGTGCCAGGGGAGGGACGGATGCTGGGGTGAAGAGATCCTTGCTGCCTTAAATACTAAGTAGATCATGACAATACTAAAATGACTGAGAGATACTTTTATGTTAACATAGACGACCACATGGTCCTTTTTGACCTTAAAATCTGTGAGCTGCAGATCATTAAATACTTATTTTAGGAAACAGAGAAATTAAAAGCTGGGGAGAATCACAGATAGTGTATCACAATCTGTTTCTTCATTACATTTTATAGATTCACTGTATGGTCACGGTATTAATTACTTATTGAATTCTGCAAAGGACTAGAAATGTTCTGTAGTAGCTTTTGTAAAAGTAGTAAGAAATTAACGGTGTCAAAATATGCTGTACCAAATCTGGTACTAAATCTTGAGAGAGTGAAGAGACACCTTTGGTTTTTTCTGATAATTAAAAGCTTTAATTAAAGGTGTGAGAATTACTTGATTGTCTCACCATTTCTTGAGTATAAGAAATACGCTGATGCTCTATCAGTGTCAAGTTTTATGTAAGACTTGATGGAAGCTGCTGAGCTCAGTAAATGTAGCTTCATGCTAATTTAAATCACACTAGTTAGCCAAATAGGTTATGTTCATTCAGATGAGATGAGAATTGGAACCATTATTTTTGGTCATTATTAAGTCCTGAGAATAGATATTACCTATGAACAGTTCCATTTAAGTTTTGTACAGTATGCACAGTTCAGAAATGTCTACCGTCAAAATACTGGATCCTCACAAAACTGCTAGAAAACAAGCCATAGCTGAGGGTCAAAACTGATGAATTGGAAAAACCTTTGATGATTTTTTTTGTTCTTTTTAATTAAAACATTAAATGAAAATAAATAAATCCTAAGCAGAGGCCAGATGGAGCATTGGAGACATTTCTGCTTCCTTTGCAAACATATACAGAGAAGTCAGACTCACTGTGCTGTCCCTCTTTGTTATGAGTAACATGCAGCAGAGAATAACAGCTCATTAAAGGTTAGCAATATGCTTGATAAAATTATCTCTTGTACACAGTAAGAGATACCTTGTCCTGTTCTTGTCAATTGCAGCCACGTGTTTCTGTTTCCAAGTGCTGATTCCTGTTAGGTTTGTGTGTAATACCTCATGGTGCTGCAGATAAGACATTGTGCCTCTGCTCTGAGAGTATTATGGGAATAATGTGTAATTTAGAAAATAAAAATCTTTAATACCAGTTTCACCAGAGAAGAGATCAAAATCTATAAAGAGATCTTTCTTAACTCCTATTTATTAACAGGGTGTTTGAAAGTTATAATGATATTGGGAGAATAATATTAACCTGTAATGAAAAAGATTTCTATCTGCAAAGAGTATCTTGACAATGTTCAGCTTGTGCTCTTCCCAACAACCTTTCTCATATTGCTTTGAATCACTAGTAGCAACTGCCCTTTAGAAGTTGGTTTTGAGTACTGTATAGTCATTTTTGTCACAAACTCACCTGTGTTAGTTTTGCTCTGTCTAATTTGCTATAAACAATAGGCAGAGATTAGTAAAGGTAAGCTCTTTCTTTTGGGTCATCATTTGCAAAACAAATCACAAAACTGTATCTTGGATAAAGAGACATTTAGGGAATTGTCAAGCAATTTTTTTCCCAGGCTTTAGTTTTTCAGCACAATGCCACATATAAATGTGAGCCTGACGGATAAAATGGGTACTGTTCACTTGTGCATCACAGAGGCCACGTTGCTGGCAATGACAGTCATGTATCCTAAAAGAGATTGCTGTCAAAATGCCTGAGTTTAGCATTGGCAATATGCCCCTAAGTACTGACCAAATTAAAATCCTATCCAGTTTCCTGTTGCCTGTCAGTGATACCAGAGAGCTTTTATCTTGAGATGAACATCTGCATGCCTGGGAATAGCAGCATGTTTGGCTGCAGGTAGGAAGTCTTGAAGTCTCCTAATAGCTTTTCTGCTTCCTTTGAAACAGCATATGCGAGAGGCTGCTGAACGGCGGCAACAGCTGGAGTTGGAGCATGAGCAAGCCTTGGCTGTTCTCAAGGCCAAACAGCAGGAAATTGAACTCCTGCAGAAGGTAAGTGGAGAAAGGGAAAGTCAGGTGAAATAGCAAATTGTGGTGACAGACCACAGGTCGTGAAACAGATCTCCTGCTTTGAAGGAACTTAAGCCACACCTACCAAACTGGTTCGTCTTCTGGATTGTTCTGCATGATTGCTGATGCAGCTGTAACATGTAGTTGTTTAGTGTTGGATTTACATGACTGTACTAATTGATTTATGTATGTTTATGCCAGTGAAGATTAACCTGGCCTGTATGCGTAACTCCTCGTATTTCCATTGCTTCCCACTACATTAGGCTCAGGAATATTTGTGTATTCCTTAAATGTCAGGAAGGAATCCAGCCTTAATTTCATGATAATCAAAATACAGGGAATCCACCATTTCCTTGTCAGTTTGCCGGAACATCTAGTCATTCTCACTGACATATTAATATTAGGATTTCTTTGGCTTCCAGACAGACACTTCCAGACACTGGCGATTCTTACTACCTTTCTCCACTATATTAGATTAAATGAAGTCCTTGTCAAGGTACTTACACATCACAGTTGATCTTTTTCATAAACTAAGCCGTTGTTTAAGTAAGTACCTCATTTCCAAGCTCTTTCTCGAATACAGAAATCACTTTAAGACCTTTTTTTTCACACTGCAACTTCTCAGTATTCATTATAATATAAAAAATCTGGCACTGAGTTTAAATCATACCAAAGTCACTTAAAGCTGCAATTGTCTCAATACTAATGTTGATTTTTCCAATTGCTTGACTAGATCAAAACACAGAAATAATAGTGCTGATGAAAATTTGGTAGAGAATTGGCATGGAGGGACATTCTCATCAGAATAAAAAGATGTATCTAAATATAGTTTGCTTGAAATAGAAAGCTTAACTTGACCAAATGAAATCTTCCAGTTAATTTTCTGTTAGCCTTTTGCAATTAATTTATTTAGGCATATTTCAAAATGCCATTTCTAGTTATATTCAGCTGTTACTATTTGAACATCCACATAAATTTTGGCCTTAAATTTCTTGGAAAAGCAAAGAAATCAAAGAAAGATACAGCTTTTCTTCTTGCTAATTTTTGTCACATTCTTCTAATAAATCCACATTGCAGGAATCTTTTTGTTACAGATTGGCAAGAAGACACGAATCTCTGTAATGCTGTTTTCTGCAGTCATTTTTGCCAAGCTATAGCATGATAGACTTCAAGCACAAATAAGGTTGTATTGTATTTGTTATTTTACTCAGTGTGACTAGCTCAGCGTCTGTAGCCAGTGATTAAATTCTTGTTCAGTGGACCTGAGGTAGCATGGAATACAAGATCATTTATGTTTAAAATTATTATCTAATAATCATTTAGCACTAAGTTCCGCTAGAAATGTAGCTTAGAATTCCTATAATAAAATCCACCATAACAATTAATCTGTTCATTACTTAGTAGAAGCATTTGAGAAATAATTCTTCCTTCTTAGTGGTTTCATTCATTAGCCTGAAATAATCCTCCTAGGACTTTGCACACTCATTTTCACCCTGAAACATCTAATTCTTTATGTGATTAAATTGCTATTGTATCTTTTTAAATTATTTTTGCCTTTCATGATAAGGATCTGTGACAGCTTAAATGAACATTCTACCATCATATCTCTTGACAAAATCTGCATGTGATATTCATTCTAGATACCACTCAAAAAGAAGGGCGCTTTTTTTGTATATTTGGATTTTCAGACCTTCCAAGCTCAAATTCTTTTCCATTGTGACATGTTGGGATCCCAGCCTGGTTGAGAGCTCAGCTGCTTCTGTAATGCCATTATTAATGCTACAGGGTAAGAATGAAGACCAGATTAGTTCACCGTATGGGTAAAATATTCAAAACATTGAAAGATATTGGGGGGATGTCTATACTGTGCACTGTTCTACCTTATGGAGAGATACTAAAGATACCTGTAGTTCTCTGCACATGGTAGTGGAGATGAGCACAGACTAATTTGTCCTGCTTTAGCCTCTAGACTGCTGGTATCCAACACATCTCCTTTTCAACATTATAATACAATGTATATTGTCAGAAAAACAATTTTTAAAAAATCTGTTACCTAAGTAACTATAATACTTTGCTTCCATCGTTAAACAGGAATTGCTGGCTCACATTTCATCCAGAGCTGACCTCCCAATGTACCTAGTACATGTGTGTTAAATTCTTTCTTCCTTTTTTTTGAGTCATCTAATTACTTGAAAAGGTACCATGAAATGAAAGTAGTAATTCCAGGCAGTAACAGGATGGCATTCCACAGCATATCTTGTTACTGTTGAAAAGTTGCTGATGAGCAGG